AAAGTTTTTCAGTTTGATGTAGTCTCATTTATTTATTTTTGCTTTTACTTCTCTTGCCTTTGAGGTCAAATTTATAAAATCCTCTTTAAGTCCAAGGTCCATGAGTTTAGTTCCTATGTTTTCTTCTATGCAATTTGTTGTTTCAGGTCTTATATCTGGGTCCTTAATCCATTTTGAGTTAATTTTGGTGTGTGGTGATAGACATTCTCTTTTTTATTACACTTATTTTGTTCTCTTTCCACCTTTATGTACTATTGATGTTGCAGGGGGTTAGGTAGGGAGTGTTAACTGTATAATTCGGAGAGTTTGTATGACCATAAGAGACCACACCTGGAAGTGACCAAGAAAATGGTGTATCTTGAGGGGCAGAATTATATAGTGTTTAATACACAGATAATTTGAGAAGACTTTTTTCTTTGTTTCCTCACTCCTTCATTCACTTCATATCTGTGTGATTGGAGCGTTACTTGACAACTTTGTGTCTCTGCTTCCTCATTTATATAAGGGGGATAATAATGGTGTATATGTAAACTGTGGATCATGTCTCTTTGTCTGTCATCTTGCTACCACCTGGATGTAGAGATGGAGGCCAACATGCAGAGGAGAGTAGAGCTAGGAGGTGGAGCAAGATGGAGAATGGTCAACATTGATTGTGTGAACCCCTAATTCAGTCATGCCTGAATCCAGCCTTATGTTTTCCTGGTCCCTTTTATGGAGCATATATCCTTTTAACTTAAGCTTAGCCTGATGTATTTTTATCACTTGCAACCAGAAAGGGCTAGTTGATATATCTATTGAGTGTGTCAATTACTGGCTATACAAACCTCCATTCTCAGTATGCCAGTGGCAGATAAGTAATACAGTGTAGAAAGTATTGAGATAAAGAAGTCTAGGGGGCCATGGAAGCATATATGAAGAGTATCCATCTAGGTATGGTAAATTATGGAAAGCTTCCTGGAGTAGATAACATTTTGACTGAGTCCTGAAGAAATGGCAGAGGAGAGAGTCTCATGATGGAGTGGTCACTCTCTCAGTCACTGGAGATTTTAAGGATGGGCTAGAAAACAACTTGCTGGAAATGTTGACTAGAAGATTTATGCCTTGACTGGTAGGTTAAACTGAATACTTTCAGTGAGAAATATAGCCCCTGGACACCACCATGGTTCCTGCTCCATGAGGATGACAGCCTCTAAGGTGGAGTCTTAACCTGATGACTCTTCACTGCTTTGGCCAGAGCATGTGTTTTGTTTGGCCCATACCATGTTTAATTTTTTTTAAATTTTGTTGCTGATGTTTAAAATTGAGACAGTTCACATAAAAGTATGAATTTGGGGCTTCTCCTGAATAAACAGAAAGCCCGACAACACCTGTCCTACATTCCACGTGCCAAAAATGGGCTGGCTTTGAGGAAGTGTGCTCCATTCACAGAGGACTCAAATTCACACAGGACTCTTATGTATATGAATATACTCCAGTCCTCACAGTGGGCCTACTTCACCTACTATTTTTTTATCTTACCTGGTAGGCCCCTGTAGTAATTTGAAAGTGAACCCTATTTAAAGTAAGGACATACTGAACATGGACGAGGTTGCATGTACCAGTGGGTGAATCGAGTGGGTGAATACCCATCTCTGGCTCCTTTTCCTCTGGTGCTGCTGGTTGTGGCATATACAGGAAGAGCAGATTCAGAGACTTGGATATGGACACTGGGTATTGGAGCAGGGGTAGGGGCTTATTTGGTTTTATACCATCCAAGGCCACCTGGCCTAGCAAATGGAAGTTCCCACATGGTTTAATCTAGCTTACTAGCATTCTGCAATGGGATCTGGAGACAAATCTAGGCTGATAGAAATGTATTTTTTCCCCCTTTTTGAATACATTCCATCTCTTTAAAGAATCTCTTTGGGGGTAGCTTTCACGTAGTCCTGGGTCCCTAGGACAGAGTCCTTCATAATAGCATCTTTGTGGGTATGCATGTGTGTGTATGTGTGTATATTTGAACATTTATTTGACATTTGTTGTTTTCATTCTAAGCTTAGATTAGATTTAAACTGTATTAACCTAAGGTGCCATTTAAATCCAAAATTAAAGTTATTCATAATAATTGCCCTTTCCCAACTTTACTGAGATATAATTTATAGACCTATTTTGATGTGTAGAACTCAGTGAGTTTTGATAAATGTTTACCCTTATTTAACTACCACCACCACAGTTAAAATATAAACATACCCATTATTCCCAAGCCTCTCTTGTGCTCTTTCCTAGTCAATCTTCCCATCACTTCTGGTGCCAGTCAATCACTAATTTGCTTTCTTGTCACTATAGATTAGATCTCTTTTTTCCAGAGTTTCACATAAATGGAATATATAATATATGCTCTTTTGTAAGTCTTCTTCACTCAACATAATTTGAGATACATCAATTTTGTTGCATTTATGAGTAGTTCATTCCTTTCCCTTTTCCTGAGTAATATCCCATTGATTGATTTATCCATTCACTTATTGATGGACACTTGGATTGTTTCCAGTTTTGGGTATTACAAATAAATCTGCTGTGAAGAAACAAGTATGGGTCTTTGGGTCGATACATGTTTTCATTTCTCTTGAGTAAATATCTTGAAGTGGAATTGTTGAGTCTTATAGTAAGGGTATGTTTGATTTTTTAAGAAACTGCCATTTTTCTAGAGTAGTTGTTATACCTTTTCACATTTCCACAGTAAAAAATGAGAGTCCACTTCATGGAGCCATCCAATGTACATGGATTGCTCCATGTTCTTCCAACACTCAGAATTTCATTTTTTTAGATTTTAGCCATTGAATGAGTGTATAGTGGCATCAAATTGTGGTTTTAATATGCATTTCCTTGATGATTAATGATGTTGAACATCTTTTCATGTATTTATGGGCCATTTGTATTTATTTTTATACATTTTATACAGTATCTTTATATCAGCATTCTCCACCTCTAACAGAGGCAATAGAAGATTGTACAGAAAAGTAATTCTCGGCATAGTAAATCAAGTTCATGAAAAGGACTGATAAAAAGCTATAGGTATGAGAGGGAGGGGAGCTCACATCCAATCTTTGAGTTAGAACTGGAATGCTGGGCTTTTGCCATTTTCCCAACTAAGCAACTGGGACAAGTGACAAACAGAGGTCTCAGATTTATTTCTGTGAAGGGAATGGTTCAGTGCTTGAATGGTGGCTTTAACTCAGCCTAGGTGAACTGCTATATTTGAACTCATCAGGTCTATCCATGGATCAATCTCTTCAGTCTGAAACCTGCTTGGACTGACTTTTTTTTTTAAGTGACCAAGACTACTGTTTGCACCAGTCAAAATGAAATTTGGCTTTAGGAAGACTCAGCTTAAGGATGAGTTCTGTAATGCAGCATGACCTTGGGCAAGTCTCTTTTAAGATCTCGTTTACTTCTGTAATGTGGGATAGTGAAATTTATCTCACAGCATTATTTTTGATGATTAGGTTTGACAATGGACATGATGCTTAGATATACCTGTAGTTTTTATTGGCTCTGGTCTTCAAGTTCCTGCTTCTGAAAAATGAATAGGCTGGATCAGGTGATCTCCCAGGCCTATCCTGATCTGATATATAACTAGGAAATATAGTAATGCACTTGTCCAGATCATGGAATAACTTTTCTTCGTGGCATGTCGATAAATCTCAAGAGGGGAGAACATAGTATTAAATGTAACCAAAAAAAAAAAATCCAAATTTCTGTAAATAGGAGCAACTTTTAACTTTAACATCCAGTTTAACACATACTACCTCTGGGCTAATGACTTTCTTCTTCCTGCCACCTCCCCAGGCATCAGCACCATCCAGCAGGCCCATATGTTTGGGTTAATAATCTACCAAGCAAAGTCAAGTCTCAGATTCAGTGGTTGCCTCTATCACAGACTTGGAGGAGGTACTATGTGGTGCTTCAGTTTCCCTTTCTTCCCAAATGGTCTACAAAACTTGCACATTCTTTCCTGGGTATCAAAGCTATTTGTTATCCTCTAGAATGTGCTCTGAGGTCCAATAAGAGTTAGCAGGATAAATAGCAAGAATTATTATTAATTAGTGAAAATATGTATAATCACATAATTGGAGTGTATAATAGATGCTTCGCAGCTGCAGGCAGAAATGGAGGGATGCACAAATGAAAGTCAGGGAGGAGGTTTCCATAGATCCCAACTAATATAGAAGTATGAAAAATGTCGAGGGTTTCGCACTCCTGATACCTTGCAAAACATAGATTCAACAAAGGTCAGTGTGCCAGGAAGCTAAACAACTCAAAGAGTCAATGAATGAATGAGTCCTTAGTATTAGTAGCTGACATAAATGAAGCCACTTCCCCCAGTAGATCATTTTTATGCCCACAATTTTGAGCTTATTAGTGGGTTTGCTTTTTTTTTTTTTTTAACAACAGTGTCAGATTTTTAATGAAAGAGCTCAATCTCTGCAGTAACCGAGGAAGAGATAATAACACCCACTTTTAGTTGGCTTCCTAGGCTGTCCCCTTGGATTCTTGTATCTTTGAGCCCTTGAAGCTCTGTCATACCCCAGCAGAGCTTCCACTCCCTCTCTGGTCCCAAGGGCCTGTGTAATTATAAATGAGTCATGACATCTTAGATATATTTGTTTCAGGGCTCCTTTGTTGGAAGAGGAGAAATAAAATAGCAACTGAGAGTCTCTTCTCAGTACATTGAACTCAAATTTTCCTCTGCTTGATTGAGGATATGGAAGAAGGTTTATGTGTGTGTAGTGGGGCGGGGAGGGGGATGGGAAAATAGGGCAAAAGGGACAGGAAATAGGTGTAGGTGATTCTGGGAAGGGGGATGATGATGTTGATGATGATGATGATGATGATGATTGATGATGATGATGATGTGTTGAGTGTTTCCAATGTATCAGGCACTGTGCAGGAGGTATGCTATCTGCATTAGTTTATGTCATTGTCACACACTCTTATAATATGGATGCTGTAATTATCCCCAGTTTATAGTAAAGGAAACAGAAGCCAATGGCAGAGAAGTCACTTGACCAAAGTCACCCAGCTGGTAAGTTATGGAGCCAGGACTCCAATCCAGATCATTTTCGAAAGCCCACATTCTGTAACCACCTGCTCTACTCCCACTGGCACACAATATTATCAGTTCTTTTGCTGCTACTGCCTCCATACCCACCTCCACCTGTGTTTCTACCCCACCATCTTCATAGACTTGCTGCTTGGATCGAATGAGCTGATACTTATTAAATACTTAGAACAATGATTAGTCCTTTGTAAGCATGCAATCAATACTAGTTTATTATTTTTTATTATTATTATTATTATTATTATTATTATTATTATTATTACTGTTATTTGCTGTTTTTCTTTCTCTGTACCAGATATTCTGCTGGGTGCTACAAGACAGCAGAGGTGACACAAACATATTTCCTGCCCTCTGGGGATCTCACATTATAGTTGGGAGATAGGATAGATGCACATAGATGATAAAAGGCTATGTCCGATTTATGCCAAATGCATGGCACACACAGTAAAGGCAATAGAAGTCCAGAGTGAGGAGTGACACTGTGTGGGATGAAGAAGGACTTCATGGAGGAGACAAGGTAGGACCTACACTTGAAGGAAGAGCTGGGTTTTTAAAGATAAGGATGGAATACATGAGGCTAACACATTCAGTTAGAAATAATAATGTCAGGATGTCAGCTTCTCTTCCTAAGAACAAGGACAAGGACTTTTGTCTGTTTTGAAAGTTGCCATATCTCTAGTTCTTAGACTAGTGCTTGGCCCGGAGTAGATTTTCAAAAGACACATGTTGAAAGAATGAATGAAAGAAAAAAAACGTTCATGGGAAATTGCAAGCTGTGTTTAGATAAGGCTGGCAGACTGATTTGGCCAGAGTAGATAGTGGGTGGTGGGAGTTGAAGAGAGAAAGCTGGAGGCAGCATTTAAATGGATCTTGAAGAATAAGTCTGATTATGATAGATGGAGAGAAATGAAGGAGCTACAATAAGGCCTGGTGTGGCTTCAGATAAATGCTGAGAACAAATGAAAAAGTTCACCATGTACAAATCTGGCATTTCTTCCCCCTACCCTTGGCACCCGGAACAGCAGAAGTAAAACTGGGCGTAGGAACCCTGTCTCAGAGCAGAACGTGGCCCTCAGGCTGGTCTGCAGCACAGAAATAGCAATGCAGCACACAGACACCTGGTTCCATAACTCTGTGTCCCATCAGCGTGCATGTGCCCCTCTCAATTTACAGCCCACAGTATTTGTCTGTGTCGGTTTATGTCAGCGTCTTCGCTGTGCCAAAGGCTGGTCTCAGCTGACTCTTTAAACTGACTGCTTGGCATCTTTAGTCTAAGCAACTGTTCAGTGGACGTGGTGTTCTCGCTTTCCAACAACTTGCTTAAAGGTGGTGCAAGAATGGTCTTTGGATTTCTTAGTAAGTGTTGGAATTGTTCATGTATATATCTAGCTCCTAGGTTAGACCTATTACTCTTGGAGGAGAGGAAGTGTTTTCTATTCTTAGCTCCTAGGTGTCTGCAGTGGGGCTGAAATTAGTGATTCTAAGATATTGATTAAACATTTAAAAAAAATTTTCTGTTATCACGGTGGACCCATGCTAATGCTTTCAAATTGAGTATGGATAAATTGGGAAAGTGGAGATTTAGACTTGGAACACAGTAATCTACTAATTGATCACAATGACACATATAGAAGATTAAATGTTGGGAATGTAACAATAAAAGTAGAGAACAGAACAACATTCTCTCATTATTTTCCCAAGTGAGGCTCTGTTTTAGGAATTATATGGAGATAGTAGAAAGAAAATTTTTGAAGTTGACACATCTAAGTTTAATCTCTGTTACTTAGGAGTTGAGTGATCTCTGGAAAATTCCCCTAACTCAATGGTTTCCAACCTGGGGTGATTTTGCCCCCCAGAGGACATTTGGTAATATCTGGAGACACTTTTGGTTGTCACAGTTGTGAGGGTGAGTTTGCTACTGGCATCAAGTGGGTAGAGGCCAGGGATGCTGCTAAACATCCTCAGTGCACAGAACAGCCCCACAGCAAAGGATTATCTGACCCAAACTGTTAATAGTGCCAAGAATGAGCAACCCTATCAACCATATTGAGCCTCTTTTTAATCTATAAAATGAGGTGAAGAGCAGCTACCTCCCTGGTTTCTAGGGCAAATAAATTTAGTGTGTATTGTGTGTGTATCAGGGGCGGGGGGATAGTCCCTGTCATGTAGTGGACCCACAATTCATTTCCTTCTGTTCTTCTCTTAAGGATAGAGAAGTTGGAGAGAACTCAGAAGTCCTTCCAAGCTAATAACAGGGCAGAAAGTAACATTTTGAAGGAGATAAAGAGAACTGGGATTATTCAACCTGAAGAAGAAAGGTGGCTCAAAGGTGACTTAATAATAGTCTTAAAGCCTAAGAAGTGTTATTATTTAGGGGAAGATAATCCACTGCTTTCCAACTCCACTGAGGAATGAAAACGAACCACAAGAAAGTGGAATTAGGCTAGATATAAGGCAGAGCTTCCTGTCTACAAAGGTCAGCAAAAGAGCCTTCTGAATCACCATAAATCCAAGGATTGTGTCATATCTGAATTTGTTTAACTAAAATTTATTACCAACTTCCTGTGTGTTGAAGAGCTTTTGGGGACAATAGGGGTCATGTGGGCATAGGGAGAAATACAACAATAAGGATAGTAAGACAGTAGGGTCTTTGCCCTCAAAGAACTTAGGGATTCATTGGGGGCATGTGGGAAGTGATGTAAATGATGTAGGCGAGCACCAGGTAAGGCTCTAGGAGGTCAAAGGTTTAGGGGGTAAGAGAAGGAAAAGAGGGGTAAGTATTTTAAATGGTTCTTGAAGATAAGTCACATGTTGGTAGATGAAGAATAGAACCAGGGAAGGTGGGCACAGGAGGCCTGGGGTGGTTATAGGAGATGGGTAGGAGATAGGGAAATATGGGGTGTGTTGGAGGAGTAGTGGAGAATTCTCCAAGAGGTCTGGGAGCAGACAGGTGGGAAAAGAAGTCTGGGCCAGTTGATACAGCCACTATGGAAAACAGTCTAGAGGTTCCTCAAAAAATTAAAAATAAATATACCTTTTGACCCAGCAGTTACACTTCTCAGTACTTATCCAAAGAAAACCAAAACAATAATTCGTTAAGATCTATGCATCCCTATGTTCATGGGAGCATTATTTACAATAGCCAAGATATGGAAGCAACTTAAATGCTCATCAACAGATGATTGGATAAACAACTAGAGATTATTATGCTGAGTGAAATAAGTCAGACAGAGAAAAATAAATACCATAAAATTTCGCCTATGTGCAGAATCTAAGGAACAAAAAGAACAAACTAATTGAAAACAGACTCACAAATATAGAGGATAATCTAGTGATGGCCAGAGGGGAGGGGGTTTGGAGGGCTGGGAGAAAGCAGTGAAAGGTTAAAGAAGTACAAATTAGTAGTTAATAGATGGTCACGGAGATGGGGAGCATGGCATGGGGAATGTAGTCAGCAGTAATGTAATGGCTATGTGTAGAGCCAGAGGGAAGTTAGAGTAATCGGGGGGATCATTTCCATAAACCATATAAATGTCTAATCAATGTAATGTATACTTGAAACTAATAATAAAATAAACTACTAAAAACAGAAAAAAAAAAAAAAACAGACATGG